TAAGAGCTTTTCCATATAATATTTTACTATTTACCTAAAACTAACTCTGAATTGTCTAAGAATCATTATTTTTCTATATGAGCGCTGCACTTTTTGTCCTACGCAGATTGCGTATGCACGAGAAAATATTACTTCCGATTTACTTAAATGCAAAGGAACAGCGTCGTAAAAAGGTTTATAGTCGTGTCAATGACACATTACAAGATTTCGATTGTTGAAATAAAAATTCATAACATTTTATAACGTTTATTTCATACAATTTTCCATGTGGTTAGATATTTCGAAAATTAATACAAATATTCTTCTCAAAAATACAAAGTCTGCTGTTTAAAATTGATAATTTGGCTTTTATACGAACTTAAAGGACAACCTTTGTATGTGTAAAAAACCTACATGGACAGATAGAACAATGTTTATCATTTTCTGTTTTTAACTGTTGTACTCATATTATCGCCTATTTCTTTATTATCGAATATATGTTCTATAGTTTGTAGGTTGAGCTACTTTTGTGAGCACTCGAGAATACATTTTTTTTCTTGTTTTTTTTTTCAATTTTGTAACTCTTTATAATTCGGATATGAACACAGTTGAAAATATATTTTAAGTAGCAGAAGCTTCATATATCATTTTACCCTATGACATAAGTGATCATTTTTACTACTTTATCCTTGCAAATAGTTAAGATAATTAAGCGTAGCGTGCTGAAAGAGCAAAGATGTGTATGGTGTCAATGTTTAAAAAAACAGATATTTTTTCAAATAACTAAAGTTTTCACTTTACTATTACAAGATCTAAAGGCATTAAAAATCAAACAAAGACATGTACATCAAATAGTGATATTGTTATTGTCCAATCTTTAACACAGGCGAGCAAACACGCACGTCCGCGTGCACTCATGCACACTTACGGACAGAGAGAGAGGCCTCGAATAAAACGTTATCTAAACCTATAGGTGCGCTATTGTTACTAGGTTAAGCGACTATTTCTAGGTCTCAAGAATACAAACGATTTGTGTTATTGCATTTTTAAAACTTATTTCCATTCAAATTTGAGCTCGGTAGCAAATATTTTTAAGTTACAAAAATTCATATGTCAGTTTACCCTTTGATAAAGGTGCCTATTTTAACATTTTTTTCCTTGTAATTTAGTTAATTGAGCGCGCTCTTAGAGCACAACTGTGTATGATGCAAAGAATTAAAATGAAAGGCATCAAAGCAACCTCGAGTGATTCGCGGAATATCATGGTCGTTTGAAGAAGTTTATTGATTGTACAATAAAAATTAACACGTTTTGTTAAAGAAAATCGTCCGATTTTTAACCTGCGCCGGTTTGCAAAATTTCGATTGTTAAAATAAAATTTATAGAAGAAACTTATGGATATTTTTCAGTCAATCTGCTGTTTTGTTACATATTTGATAGTAAATGCAAATATATTTCTCGAAAATACAAATACAGCCGTTTAATGTTTATGTTTTGGCTTTTATACGCACTCAATGAACAACCTTTGTACGCATACTAATTCACATGGACACATAGAGCAATGTTGGACATTTTTATCTGTTGTACTCATATAATCAACTGTGTCTCTACCATCTAGGTTAGCTGTAATTTAAAATAAAGAACATACAACAGAAGAAGAGGGTTGTCCAAATATTTTGTGACAATATATTTTAAAAGCTAAATAAAATACATGTAGTTGCAAATTTGATATTTAATGTGATATAAATACATATAATGGACACATTTTCACAAATTTACATAGAAAAATATCGACAAACAACATCAATATGCTATAAATACCATGGCAACTGTTTAAATCGCGGTGCACGTCAAACGTCAAAGACGGTGTTTAATCCATATTAAACGCCTTTCTTAAATACTCTCCATACCATTCAACGTATAAACTGTGCAGTTTTACTCATTAATCGTCACTTACGGACTGATACTATGTGGTTGTTAGTCTCTGTTGAATGTTTTGGAAGGCATACACTAATATCTTGCTATCAGCGAGCTTCCGGGCTCGCTACACCTGCTTTAGCTGCGGGAAATAGACGACGGAGATTGGTCTTCTTATTCGTCCTTGCCATTTGTTTGCTTTCTGTTGTACAGGGCTCTGGTTCCGTTCATTGGCGCCCGCGCCGAAGCTCGACGCCCTTTATGGAATTAAATCAGATTTTGTGAAAGGGCAATTGCAACTTCTTGGGCCTTTTCGTCTGCCATTATAGCCGATCATTCCGATTGGTATGAAGTAAAATGAAATGTCGCAATATGTACAATGAATAGCGAACTGGAGAATTTCGGATTGCAAACAAATTCAAATGAAATTATCTTATCCGTCAATCAATCACGCTCTTCAGATCTTTTATTAATCATGTGGGTTATAATGTACGTTACTGCTGTAACTATCAATCAAATAATGACCTTAACACTGTGAAAGACCGAAAATCTATTTATAGAAGTAGTTTTAGTTTAACGAAACGGTCATTCGTGTCGCGCTATGGTTATAAATAACGAACTGAAGAATTTTGCAGAAATTATTCAAACAATTAATTGTACCCTTTATAAATTTACAGAAACAATTTAAGAAGGCTATTTTTACAAATTATTATTTCATATATTTATCATTTTGACATGTTTTTTCCGTAGGTCTCTCCGGTTTTCTTTTTTACGGTCCTGATTGCACTTATGACATTTTTACCGTGAATATTTAAATAGATCTATAGAGAATAGTTCATAGCTATAAAAATCGCTTATATTTTGACGATGTTCGACAGTTAACAGGTCTGGCAGTAATATACTATAAAACCTATTTGCTGTTCAAGTCTCTTTAAGTAACTGTTCTATATTTTGTTTGAAGGCAATTGATTTTATGGTAGTTTGAGTGGAACGTTCATTTTCCGAATATTGTGACATTTTAACAACAAAAAATTTCGTCTGCAATTTTAACATTAGTTGTTACGGGTTTATTGATAGGAATGTAAACACACTGGTGGGTTAGACGAGGTTAATTCAATACAATAGTAAATTGACCTCCAAATAAATGGCTTTGTTCAATTTGACTACTATTTTGTATGTTCAAAAGAAAATACCACATGAACTTGAAATTCTATAAAATAACTATATATATTATTGTTAATATCCAATAATACCCATCTATGTAATATATAGATAAACTTATACCATGTAGGGGTATATTTTGGATATTTTAGACCTGAATATTTTGGATATTCTCGTTAATATTGATAGAATTTCATGTTCCTTTGGGAAAAAATGCAATATTCTAATGTCTAGCATGGCTACCAAAGTTCGTGATGAACAACGTCTTTTGTCTGCCCATTCATAAATGATATACAATTCGGGTAAAAACCAAGTAACCATCGAAAAGTTTATAAGAATATCTGGTCAACAGATGTCTACAAGTTCATCTTCACTTGCTGCATTTCTTGATTGGACGCCCTTTGATGCTTTGCATCATTGCGTTTATTTTATCATTTGCAATCAAATGCTCGGGATATGTTCTTTAACTGTTCTATCCGGTACATAAGTTGAATTTGTTTAACAGGTGTTATTCCGAAATACCCACGAAACACCTGACTACTGTTTGCTTCGCCGCAAAGTCTTCGAACGTCGCCATTTCAACTTTCTTAATTTCTATGAGATATTTTTTTCGTATCTCGGTCGTTTCTTAAATGATTTAATTGAAATTATCTACGATGATGCAGCATGACAGCAGAGGAAGTCAACGTGATATTGTGAAGACACTACAATATACGTGATTTATTTAAGCCTATTCATAATAAAATACAAACTATTTTACGTGCGCAGGGAACTCAAACCAATTTCGTTATTATTGATTTTTTTAAGTAACAAGAGTAGATATTTTGTAAATGATTTGTTGCAATAATAAACTTATACGTTATATGTACGGGCGTTAAAAATGAGCCGTTTGTAAGATTTGTCACGGACTTTTGGGACAACCCTCGTATATTAAAGGACATATTATACTTATGTATGTACTATCTTTTGGTGCTTTGCAATATAGTGATTATGTCACTTGACCATGTTTGTGGTTATTGTTCGTCATATATATTTGTTGAAAAAAATATAAAAGTTTCCATTTTACTTTTACAAAAATTATGTTAAGTATTAAATATAGACTTGTGCACGTCAACGCGTATGCTTGCACACGGACGGACAAGAAGAGAAAGGGAGAGGCTTAGAATATCTCCAGATTACAAACCCTTGTTTTGAACTTTCAATATTTGTAACTACATGTAATTTTCATTCAAATTTGAACACAGTAGCAAATACTATTAAGTAACAGTAGGTTCATATGTCAATTTATCCGTTGACAAAGGTGATATTTTTACGTTGGGTTTAAATAAAAATGTTCAAGGTCAAAGTCAAATCACACTCCTTACATTATTATATGCTGATAATGAATAACAAGAATCAAAATATTCCAAGTACAGGCTACAATATGCACATTATATACATATAATATATTTATCTGCTTAAAAGCCAAATTGTATTCACGCATATTTATGGCACATTATGCCTTATATTTTTTTCCTTCTTAAGAAAAGGTAAACATTAGTTATATAACACCCAGATTTATTGCACTCCATAACTGGAGGGTCTGAAATCTGATTCAATAATATATCATGTCTGTCATAATTAAAAGTTGGTACATATCGAAATATTTATCTTGATGATAAGCGTATATGTGCAGATACAGATACAAACCTAAACGCAACAACAAATAAATCAGAAAAAAATACTTACATTACTTTTCCATGAAACAAAGTATCCCAAGAGTGATATTTTACATTCCAAGTGTATGTTTGGAAATAAATATAATGCTAAAAATGAAGTATTGACTTACAAGTTGAATCTATTTTTCGTCTTAAAAGAGACAGTGTTTATGATATTTCAGGTATCTATCTAAATATTAATTGTAATATTTATCAACAGAATTAACGAAATGTTTAGAAACTTACAAGGCAGAAGTATTTTGACAGTGTCTGTAAGGTCAACAGGAAACTCGTCACACTCAACTTTACACGTTACATCTTTACCATTGTCTTCTTCACTGACATTCAAGTTTACTTCATACACAGAATTCCACGCACCATGGGGTAGACTTATGTTCTCTGAAGACCTTTCTGATCCGATGATACCTCTTGGAGCTTTAAACTGAACGTTGCAGACAGGATTCGAGCCATACACAGTGCAAGTAGCATACATTTGACTGTCTTTATCAACTTTGACTTCTAACGTCAGATCTGTGGGAGGAACTAAACAAAACAAGACACTAAACATAAATACCATGTACTGTTATTGAAACAATTTTCATTTAATACAATATAATTTTCATGCTACAGGCTGAAAATAAAAGTTTCTTTTTTCAGAAGATATTTGTTTGTTTTTCTTAAGAAAGTACATATTTTTTATAAAAATCATCACTTGTTAACATCAGTATGAAATAACAGTAAAAACTCGCAAATGAGACCACTGAAGATACTTCGCAAATCTGGTCTTAATAGCGTTTTGGTCCCATAAATTAGTTTGGTCACACAGAAAACCATGTATTACAAGTGAAAAAAATCTAAAATAGAGGGGCAGTTAGTAGACTATGAATGAAATAGGATAAACGGTAGTACACACAATATTTTAAAGAATTCTAATAGAAAAAAAAAAACTTACAAAGATAGTTAACTTGTTTTGGTGGTGAACAGTCCCGCACAATTTTGTACCATTCGTTATATCGACAGCACGCGATGTTTTCTTTGTTCCATTCTTTCTTGAATTGGGTCAAAGTGATAATGTTGGTATTTAAAGATGTAGTCGAATTATAATTATGCGAATTTGCAGACGATACTTCTAAACCGGAAATACTAAAATACACATTCGGATTGGGTCTTCCATCATCCAACGTACATGTGATGTTAACAGCTTCTTCATCTCTTAGGATTTCCGGCACCGAAAAATGAAAATTTGGTGGTTCTGTAAATATATAAATACAGTTAAAATAAAACTTAAACATCAAAAGAATAAGATGTATTAGATTAAATAGATCAATTCACATAAATACAAAGATTGTTACATTTGGTATTGTAATGAAGTGTAATAATATCCAAACATACCGTTTTAAAAACACATTAATTAGCATTATATACTTACTTATAACAAACATCTGAGCAGTAGCACTTAAAGGTGACGACAATGCAACGTTCGTGACTGAAAATGTCACATTTTCCATATGATGGTGGTCCTTAACCAGGAACAATACCATATAGGTTGTTAAATTTAACACTTGAGGGGGATATGTCTCATTTCCTATTGTCATGGCAACGGTTAGAGGAGAAGTGCCACCGTGTATCTCACAGGCAAGTTCGAACATGTCATTATCCTCACAAACAATACAGTCCCTGCAATTTTCTATGTCTTGTAATCCAACTATTACAGGCGTACTTGGTGGTTCTAAAAATATGTAAATGAATTGTTTACTGCAGAAAAATTGTTACCGGTATTTCTCTGTTTATTTCTTTAGTTTTTGTTTGAAATTTTTATTTTACATCGCATTGATATCTTTTACAAAAATCATAAATATACAACAAGGCAGACTGAAGGACAGCTAAATCCCCTTCCGCAGTGAACATGGTGTGTACTTCTTGACCTTTTACCAGCCACGACCTTGATGTTATATCATGCATATCACAAGCACATAGTTTCATGATGGTGATTACTGGTGCAATTTTATTTTAAGTCTTCCATAAAGTAAAAACAAATATGGAGAACATATAACCTTGACATTGGTGGTAGCAACAAGGATGTTGGACTCTGCAGATTCTGTCATGGTGGCGATCATTTGTGCCAAGTAATTTTAAAACCTTTGAATTGTCATGTTATGGAACGGACATGAAAAATAGATGTTTTATACATTGGATCTTTGAGTGTGACCCTGACCTTCAGGATTGTGACTTGATTATTGTGTTCTACCATGGTGTCATAATGGTGCTCATTTCTGCCAGGTTATCTAAAACATTGCAGCGGTTTAAATGTTATGGACATACACATATATGTAAACTTTCTAGCATTTGACCTGTAAGTGAGAACTTGACCTTGGGTGTAGCAATTCAATTATTGCGCTCTGCACATCGTGTCATAAAAGTTATTCGTGCCAAGATATTAAAAAACTTTTCAACGGTATTAAAGTTATGGAGCGGACACGAATTGTACACCTTTTAACACTTGACCTTTAAGTATGACCTTGACATTTGTGATAAAAATTTAATTATTGCGCTCTGCATATTGTCTCAAAATGGTGATCACTTGTGCCAAGCTGTTTAAAAAGAACAAAGGTTTAAAAGTTTTGGAGGGGATAAGAAATGTACACGTTTATACATTTGACCTTTAAGTGTGACATTGACCCTAGGGGTGGCAACCCAATTATTGCGTTCTGCACATCGTCTTATTATGGTGCTTACTTGTTTAGTAGCTTAAAAGTTATGGATCGGACACGAAATGTAGACTTTTATTATTAAATGAAAACTTTTAAACATTTTACCTTCAAGTGTGACCTGACCTTTGATCTACCAACCCAATTATTGTGCTCTGCACATCCTTTAATTATGTTGATAACTTGTGCCATGTTATTTCAGAAAAATTTTAGTAGTTTAAAAGTTACGGAGCGGAAACGAAATGTAGATTTTTATTATTGAATAAGGAAATTTTAAGATTTGACCTTTAAGTTAGACCTTGACCTTGGGGATACCAACCCTATTTTTGAGCTTTGCACATCGTCTTATTATGGTGATTTCTTGTGCCAAGTTATTTCAAACAATTGTCAGTGATTTAAAAGTTATGGAGCGGATACGAAAGTGTTACGTACCGACAGACGGACGGACAGGAAGGACAGACGGACTGACAGACGGAGGCCATTTCTAAAATCAGCTACGCGGGAAGGGATTAAAATGTAATTTATGCGAGCAACAGATTCGTGCACATTTAAAATGAAACACACAAACTGGTATGATGTATGACTCACTGTTACCCTTTTGTCTACTTGATTTTGTAGTTTCTAAAATATACCAAATGTCCCATAATTGAAAAACGTTGTAACGCTTTTCAATCAAGTCAGATTAAGAGTAGCATAGAAAACTATTTTCATTTATTTCTGAGTTAATTTTTCTTAACTTAACTTCTATGTAAAATGTTCAAAAAAAAAAAATACATGAGATGTTTTGTTTTCAGTGGAGATCCAAAGAAGTTTAGAAACACAAACCAACCTGTTAATTTCAACAGTATTGCGTTTGTGTATAGTAACCTCGGGCCGCAATGAACACTGTATCTCCCATTCATAGAAACACTGAACATATATATTGTCAACACATATTTTTGATTTTGCCCCATTGTCTCTTCGTAACTGCCATCAGCCAATATTAAGGTTTCTGATTTCTTGTCGTCAGTGTGTACCCAGCTTCGTTCGAAACTACCATTATTTTCCATCACATAATTTGACGGGTAATATTCTATTTCTACGGTCCCATTCTTAGTCAAATTCTCAGATCTGAGGTACACTAGTCCACAATTTCCTGTACCTGGAAAATATGTTAAGGTAATTAATTTCATTTGTTTGATTTAGTTACATGTTAATTTTGGCTTTAGTAACTAAAAAGTTGTTTTATAGGTTTGTCATATGGGCACGAACGTGCACCTGATTTGTACTACCAATGCCCATAAGCTAGGTGTATATCTTCCTCATATTAAAGATTCCAATGTACCTGTCGATATTGGCGGGTAAGTGGTTTGAAGTCAACAACCTTAGCCAATCAGCTATGGACACATTTAAAAAGATAAAACGCTTATTGATCGAAGAACCGATTCGGTTTTTCACTAAAGTGTTTAGAAATTCCAGTTAATTTCAATTCATTCAGAACCTACACTGATAAAATGGAATGTATTCATATTACCTACAATAATAATATCTGTCTTGTATCATAGTTTGGGGCCCTTTCTGTTGAAAAAGTGTCAGAGTTAAATCGTAAACATATACATGCACAGTGCGGTAACTGGAGTGCAGGTATCAGTTACCCGCACTCCAGATAATGGCCGTTGATTTGTTTATTTTTGCTGGGGTTTACTTATTGTGACGGCAGAGAAAGTGAAAGGGGCAGAAATATCATATTCAAATGCTCGTTCATTCGTTAATTTTTTCAGGGGTTTTATATTATGATAACAGGGAACGTGCTGTCATGTTTGACTATGATACAAAAGAGAAAGAACACCAAAACACTCGGCAATCTGATTTATACTCGAGGGCTACGCCCCCTCGTACAAATCAGATAGCCTCGTGTTTTGGTAGTCTTTTTATTACGTATTTTGCGGTTCGGAAAGGAATATCCGTCCCGAGGCGACCCGCCCATTGGGCGGTCACGAGGCTTGCCGAGTTACCGCCCATGGGCGGGTGACCGAGTGACAGATATTCCGATCCGAACTGCAAACATATGTCAGATATTTTTTCTTGCATATTCTACCATATTCCATTATACTTTAAATTCTTTATCTTTATTTTCAATGAAAATTAATATCATTACAACCGTAACTACTTTCTTACAACAGCGTAACAACTTCATTCATAACGGTAGAATGACGTCATCCTTATCGTGCCATTTTACAGCACGCGACTCAGCTGGGACCCCCCATGCCAGATGAAATTTCCGGCATGGGTAAAACTCACGGAAACGCCAGTCTGATATGCAAGAATAAATCAGATCAGAGATGATCAGATGAGTCTCAGTCAACAATAAATAAAATATAGGAAAAAGGAAGCAAATAGAACCACCGCCGCGAAGCGGCCTGGAATTTGGCTTGCCCGGCTATAGACTACATGTGTATATTTAAAAGAAAAGAAAATAAAAACAATTAAAGACTATATAGAATTCTTTGCCTATTAATGAAATTTTTAGTGACTAGTAGGGCACCACCATTTTCAATGTAACTCAAAGATAATTGGCGGGGTATTCCGATAACGAACAATCGCAACTTTTCGAATTAACAATAATCTTCGAGTATTCCGTGTGTAAACGGGTGAAATACGAATGACACCATAAAACGGAAAAATGAACGATTTTTGAACCGACTTCTCCGTTCATATGCTTTGCCTTATTTCATATTACGGGGAAGTCAAAGCTTTGACTTGTCCGGCTATAGACTACAATCGATATTAAAAAGATAATAAAATTTGAAAATAAATAAAAACAATGAATTCTTTACCTATCAGTGTAATGTACAATATCATTTCTTGTTTGGCGGCGTAACGCAATGATAAACGGCAAGTATATATTCCGATATTGGACTAATCGGAACTATTCGACTTACAAGGTAACAATAAAAGATGATGAGTTCTGATTAAAAAACGGATGCATAGACTTGTGTCCTGCGCACGATAGGACAAGAAATAAAATGCAAGCAGTGCATAAAATATCGAATGGCACTTTTGGAAACTGTAAAAATGGAATATAACGATTTTTTTATCTGAAGCGGGTCCGGTCTTGGGCTTGCTTGACTATAGACGTGTATATTTAAAAGGAAATCGAATAAAAATAATTAAAAAATATATAGATTTCTATACCTTTCATTGAAATATTCAGTATTATTTCAGATGGTCGCCTCAATTTCTAATGTAAGTCATGGTAAACGCCGGGTCATTCCGATTACGGAACAACTCGCAACTTCTCGGTAAAAGAAAATCGCCGAGGTGTTCCGATTGAAAACGGAAGCGGTGCAATAAATAAATAAAATAGTAAATAAATAACAAATGAACGATTTGTTATCTTCCCCGTTCATAAAGGCTTTGCCTTCTTTCATATTAAGCATTGACTAGAACTTGAGTTACAATGATAAACATTATAAGTTACGTTAAAGTATGCATTTTTATAAATCACCGCGTTTAAATAAGATAAAATCATCAACTCTGAGTGTAGTTAAACAATAATGACGGACGGAATATTTGGAATCACTTCGAAGATAAGATGATAACCAAAAATTCTTACATTATTCAACGGTGAATAATACTTGCGTTTACGAATTCCAAGAAAGATTTGATTGGTATATTGACAAGTCTAAGCTTGTTATTAAAACATAAGATCTTTTCGCGTCATAAGAAGCACCTAATTTCATATAATTTCAGGAGACTCGAGCGTCTTTCTGCAAGATTTGGTTTATTGTCAATTGGGTTTCATTTCACCTATATGTGCCAATACCCTGTGTTCTTACTCGGTTACAAAACATACTTTGAAGAGACTATAATATCATATTATAGTGATTATTATATAAATTGTTACATCATACCTTCAAGCGTAAGTGTTCCAGCTTTCATCCAGCAATGTGATGTTTCATTATAATAATGAATACGATAAAATCCCTCGTCATTGTTTGTTTCACTGTCTGTTAATACCAGGAAGTAAATCATATTTTTCTCATACTGTATAAACTTGTTGTTTAAAGGGAGCGTTTTCCATTGATCTGTTCCATTCATGCTGCGCTGCCATTCTAGAATTGCATTTGGATCATACGTGTCGGGAGTAAAAGAAAATGTGACATTCCTTCCTAGTATTGTGGGTTTGTCAATACTCAATTGACCACACTTACTCAAACCATCATCACCTGTTAAATAGTTCTATCATCAATAAAAACATTCACACTTTCTCTTACTGAATTAATGTCTTGTTAATATGATCATTACATTAAACCAATATTCTAATTAGTCACCACTTACTTTTTCGAACGTCTTCGCTATATCAACCTATATTTTCTTGAAATCCTTTATATCAGAAACAGTCATTTTCAATTATTCTGATATTTTACCTTGTCATATCGGCGGATATTTGATTTGTTTGTAACAGCACGGATAGGGACTTAATTACTAAAATATGACAATATCCCTATTGTCCTCATAAATTTGTTTCATTTACCATTTTCTTTAGTCATGCAAAGTTTAAAAACAACACTGTATTTAAATAAAGCTTTCAATAGAAAATCAATTTTAGGCGCAAAGAAATTGTGATGACCACCATTGCTTCCATGTTCACATATTGAAAATTTCTTCTAATTTAATCTTTAATAATTATTAAAATTATCGTCACATTGATGTAAGCAACATTTCCTGGCAATGCAAGTGAAAGAAAAAGCAACATTTCCTGGCAATGCAAGTGAATGAAAATGCCTTTCGTATATGTGTCACGCACGGTTGTTTTTAGTTTAATAGAAATAAAATAATTCAGAATAATATGTAAAAAAACCATTGGTTAACATTGCTAAGACTTTACTACGAAAGCTTATCACGGCCTCCTCTTATCATTAAGTTTCATGTCATGTCAACTTGTTTTTTCGACCAAAAACAGCCCATGAAGACTTAATGATTAAAACGTAACACGTAGAAAATTTTAATTATTGCGAAAAAACTATTTTTAAATAACGTGAACTTTTTTGTAATGTGTGTAACATATTTGCGTCTTACTAATTGTTTTACGGAAGCTTTAAACGGCCGCCTGTTAGGAGAAATTTCTCGTTTGTATCTCTTGTTTTTAGACGTTTAGACCAAAAAGTTCTCATTAAGTCGTACAGAAAAAGGCGTTTCAAGTAAAAAATATTTGGTTTAAACATATTTATTCAACAAAAAATAATTTACAATAACACAGTTCATGGCATTATCATACACAACGATTAGTTGAAGCAAAAGACATTCACATAATAGTTAAGTATTTAACAATGTAATATATGTAAGAGCAAACAGTAAAAAGGAGGAAAAAGGAAAAAAAATGATTGAAGACTAAAGCAACTCACAAAAAAGTACAAATAGACAAACACCTATTTTAGTATTTTATTCGTTTTAGAATTTTATAAAAAGAAGCAAAATAATATCTTATTTGATTGCTTACAGCTGTATATTAGCAGATACGCACAATAGATATACACTGAATATTTAAAGAGAAAAAAAGATATTAGAAAAAGGAAGGAAGAAATGCATGAACAATGATGGAACTTAAACGAGGAACTATGATACATAATCTAGTAAATGTCAAATAATATTATGTTAAGACATCTCTGGTCTTAAGTACGCTAAAATCGTTTTGTATCTCGGATATATTTTTGAACTGATTTAAAGATTGATACATTAGAATCATAAGGTAAAGTTGTGGAACCAGTAAGAATGACATTGATGGAAGGATAACAAAATTGAGATATATTATTTATTTATTCAGGTCTTAGGTTTGTATACTTAGGGCATTCAAGAAAATAGTGATAAGCATTTTCTCTCGCACTACATTCACACAAAGGAGAGTCGGTAATGTTCTTATCAAATAAATCGGCAGAAAGAGAGCTGCAGTTAGTACGTAATCTTGTGTGAAAAATTTGTAATTTACGCTCACCGCATAGAAAATCGGCAGGTACTTCTGGCATATCAATATTTAGAAGTCGCTTAAATAATGTTAACGTTGTAGCAGGTTGTGTTTGAGGTGGAAGAGAGTTGAAATCCCTAATAACAGAAGATAAGAATGATTTATAGTAAAATTCTGTATTTGTACGGATATATTGTGTGTCTTTCACGTTCTTGAGAGGGTAACCGTGCTCACTGCCAATCGACGGAGGGACGAGATCAGAAAGATAATGTGGTGTAAGGTTGTTTTTCATTTTAAAAAATAGAATAAGTTTATGTTTGTGTCTCCTTTTTTCTAGGGATTCCCAGCCAATTTTATTCATAAGTTTATCGATTGATACAAGCTTAGTTGTTCCAGTAATTATTCTAGCGGCTTCTTGTTGAATTTGTTCGAGGTCCTTTTTATCACTTTGTGTACAATTATCAAAAAGCACATCTCCATATTCTAAAACCGGTTTTATGAAAGATTGATAAATTATGTCTAATGATTTCCTATCAAGTTGGAATTTTAATTTTTTCATAACATGTATTTTTTTCCAAGCTTTATTTGTGATATATTCAATATGAGTGGACCATCTTAAATCATAAACGAAAGTAATTCCAAAGTGTTTATGAATGCGTACTTCTTTTATTTGTGTGCCATGCATAAAGATAGGAGGATGGATTACACTTTGGTTTGTTTTTCGTGTTATTATTAGTGATTCTGTTTTAAAGTGACTGCTTCAACTATCCTTAATTCAGATCTGGAAAGGATAACTTCTTGGGCCGAACAATGGTTGGTAAAATTTAATCCCATTAAAACAGAATCAAAGGCCTGTGCAAACAGATTATATAAATATGTTAATTGGTTGACAGTGGAGTTTCCGGGAACAAAACCAGATTGAAGAGATGTAATAATATTATTATCACGCAGAAAATTAAATGTGTGGTTAAATACGATTCTTTCAAAGACTTTGTTGACAGTACTTATGAGAGATATATTTGCCGGTAGTTATGAACAAGAGAAGGATCACCCGATCTGAAAAGAGGTGAAACATTTGCTTCTTTCCATACGTCTGGAACTTGAGAATAGATAAATACAGAATCCCTAAAGAAAGCCCAACACGACAAAATTGAAATTGTTGCAGGCTCGGTTTGATTGAGCCTCTTCATGGACGGTACTGGAAAGTGCAAGTTATCGTCCACGCCCCCTAGCACCGGCTTAAGCAGAATTCAACATTTAAACATGAAATAGTAAAATTTTGAATTTAGAAACATCCACAGATGTGAGAAACCTGAATAGAATAGTTAAATAGAGAACTTGATCGTAATTTCCTTTATCAAAGATCCAAACATAACGATAGAAGCAAAGTCGCTTTGGTTTTTTTCAAGTTAAGTAAACAGTATATGGGATAGTGATACCTAACATCCCGCTGAAGAAAAGGATCGCCAACGCCGCTCATATGGATGAGATTTTGCTAGAAGTAAAAATAAGGTCAATTACTGATGAAGACGACTCAGTAAATTGAGTAGGTGAGTCAATTATCTGATGCAAAGACAATTGACAACATATATCTTTAATTTTCTTACAGGAGGTAGTGTGTGCAGCGTTAAGATTAAAGTCACCCATTACTAAGATGTTTTCAATTCCAGTATCGATAGCTAAATGCAAAGAGTCTAGTATCAAGGCATGACGGGCGTTGTCTATGTTTTGGGGTCTATAATAAACTCCAAAAAGTATATGCTTATTTGAAAAAAGAATTTCGATCCAAATACATTCGGTGAAGTTTATTTCTAGATCACGACGTCTTTCGTAGTGAATATAATCCTTAACATAAACTATTACACCGCCATGGTTATCGGCACGATCTTTCTTTTCGGGATTAGCAACAGGTCTGATGATTGAATATGTTGGCCGAGCCATGTTTCTGAAAATGAGAGGATATCAAAATCCTTGAGTTCCGAATAAATGGTATCAAGTTTTTGAACAATGCTTTGGACGTTGTAATGGACAAACGAAAGGTTCCGGGAAAGATCAATATATTCATTGTCTGAGGAGACAGATGATACTGGTGAAGTACTAAGGACATCGGAATAAGGTCCTGGGTTTTTATGAACATCACCCGACAGAAGAATTATAGTACAAATGTTCCAGGTTGGAACGGACAAGAAAAGCAAATGATTGAACAGAGAATATTGAACGAAAAGACTAAGTTGAAATATTGTTTCATACTAGGTGGATGTTTGCGACGAGAGAGAGGCAAAGATATACTTTTTGATATCAAGTCATGATCACAGATGCACAATCTTATGCCAAGAGGAATATAGTTGAGGTAAGTAAATGAGAATAAAAACTGTTGTAAGGCGAAACACTCTCTCCGTTGTTGGCACTGGCCGCTTAATTTGGTTCATGTAATTTCTAATAACAGAAATAGAAATTTAATAGCCACAAACAAGAGAGAAAGAATAACAGGTATATGGAAAAACAAAATCCAGCATCTTATAAGATCCTCGTATAATGTTGTGTTCATCATTGAGAGTAAACGAAGGGAAAAAGTACTAAAAATGGAAACATATGGTATTGAGATGTTGATTGGAAGTATCAATAGGTGCTAGGTAAAATTGCTTAAAAATACTATGAAATTGTAAGTGTATGCAGAAATGTTAGCTGTATTTAAATTAAGGTCGAAATTATATGCTACATGAGAAGTGAAGTATAACAATTTATAGCATCCCTTGTAAAAAAATCAATACACTATTTACATGCATTTACGCAATTTATAACAACAATATTGTAAATTGCACAGTGAAAAATGCACACAACACCCCACGATGGTTGAGATATAAACGTAGTTACATATAAATACATACACATACGCACACATACCTACATATATACACAAGCATACATATACACATATATATCTATTTATTTACAAACGATACATGTACATTGCGCACAAGCTGAAACAATTTATAACATCCCTGTTTTGCGTTACAAACACAAATCATGAAAACATAGTTACATGCACTTACATAGTGTGTAACGACAATAATTTGTACTGTGTACAATACTGTGTTGAGAAAATCAGTGAGCTTAATACAAAATACAAGGGTTATTATGAAAATGCAAGTCAGAAAAAATGGATTAAGATTGAGTTTATTGAGAAAATAATCTTCTGAATGATGTAGCACTTATTCATTATCCCTCATGTACAGACTCAATCAAACCGAATTTTCATGTAATTTTGTTGTGATTAATGCTTCCGAGGAATCACTTGGTTTCCAGAGTTTTATACTTCACAACAGCAGGTGTCAGGTACCGTGTGGCATCTGTAAAAAATTGCCCCGTTCTTCACTTCAATGTTGTCATATTTATTTAGTCCTTCGGGATAATTGATGCCAGCACTACGTGTTGTGAATTGAGTACCGCTCAAGCCGGTGCCAAGGAGCGTGAGGTTTGTAGCACTTATTCATTATCCCTCATGTACAGACTCAATCAAACCGAGTCTGCAATTTTCATGCTATTATGTTTCACTTCATGCTTTCAGGGGATCTCTTTGTTTCCAGATTTCCTATCGTAAAACTGCCAGATGGGTGTAAATGTTGAAGGTAGGAAGAACTAATGTTCAAGATGATCTCCACCCTGGGCGGCCAATTTCCGCTACCTCTGAAAGACATCAGCACTGTCAACACCATAGGTGATTAAGCTGCAAGATATACCAAGGAAGAAATAAATGACACGTCGGTTCTAAGTGCATCATATGGAAAGTTTGTGCCCGTGGGATATTGCATTTGTCTTCCATAACTGTTCACTATCACCATCATCGATTCGAAAATTTGTAAAAACACATACATATGATAGATATCAAATGACTTGATGCTTTCAAAAATATTTAGAGTAATATAAATCTTATCAAACCCCGATTGTTAAATAAGAAAATACTGTTAAACAGACATCAAACTTCCTGATTATAAATATGATTTTGATGATAAAGAACCCTTTTATGATGGATGTAATGATACAACCTATTTTGATGATCGAAAAACTGGTGATACAAACGATGATACAGATGATTGTTCAAAATGATGATAATGATGATGATGATGATGATTATAATGATGAGGAGGATGATGATGATGATGGTAATGATAATGATGTTGATGATGATAATAAATATAATGATAATTAACTTTTGATGATAATGATGGATAATGAAAATGTATTTTGACGATGGAAGTAATAATATAAGTGCTGATGATTATCTAGGTAAGTTAAGTGATAATGAGTTTGATGATGATGATCATGGTTTTAATGATGACGTTTGACTTGGTATTTTTAAATGAAGGACGTAATGATCATTTCAATGATGACGATGAACGAGGTGATGAATAATTTGATGATGGCAGACGTTATGAGTATGTGATTATGATTTTGATAATGATGGTTGTCATCATCATGATAAAGATTGCAATAATGATTGTGACTGTTATTATATTGTGATGATTTAGGAGTTTTAAATTATGATTTTGAAGATGACAAGGATAAAGGTGGTGACAATTAAAAAGTGATGATGTTGATAATGATTATGATGATGACGATGATGATGATGATAATGGTGATGAGTTTGATGATTATGGGCATGATTATGAGTTTGACCATCACGATGTTGATGACGATTGAGGTGATAATTGTTATAACCTTTGATTGTGAAATTAATGATGATCTAAGCTGACGGCGTTGTTTATCTATAACCAGTTATATAACGCCTCCATTGTTAATGTTGTAGTTTAACTAGGATGCGCGATTATCGGTTAAAGAAAAAGCCAGTTGTGACTGCTATCAGAAGGCAGTGATTCTCAGGATAAGTACTCTTGGTTATTTTTAACAGGTCATGGAACTCACGAAACCTAGGGGAATATTGGAATATTTTTGAATCACAGAGAAGAGCAGATAATAAGCAATATATTGTCATAGACACTGTTTTGAAGAAAGGAAAGTGAACATATGTTACAATAAGAAGCGTCTGAGCATCGGCATTTTATCTTTTTAAGTCAAGAACTCTCACTAGTACGACGTTAATTAGTCATTTCTGGCTACTAAAATACTTGTTGACAATATCATGTTAAAATCCCCACGTTTTAGTTATGTGGGAGGTACAAAATGTTTGGTGGCTAATTTACGCAATGTCGTGTTTTCGCTTGTTTGCCACGAAAATGCGAAAACACGAATGGACGACAAACTGAAAGTTGACTTTGTCGTTTCTTTGTGTTTTTACTTTTTCGGATTTTCGACACAAAAAAGCGAAAATACTACCAAGAAAGGTATCAAAACGACACGTAAAATCGCTCGATTATCTGTCGTATTTTTGCTTTTCACATTGTTCTGTTTTCGTATATCCACACTATTGTATTTTAACTTTTTCGGACTGTTGTGTTTTCGCTTTTTCGCATTGTTGTATTTTTACATTTTCATATTTTTGCCTTTTCGTCTGTAGCAACCAAGCTTCATATATGATTAACAATGAATTAACAATTATCCACAAGGCAGAAAATACGAATATGCAAAAAGCAAAATCACAACAATGTGAAAAATTCAAAATGCAACAATGCCAAAATCGAAAAATACGACGGATGAAAGGGAAAACAGTCACAGTTTAAAGTGTCCTATTGTCGCTCTTTCGTGTCGTAAAAAAGAAAAAGAAAAAGCGAAAAATATTAGTGTTTTCGCATTTTTGGAGGGAAAGACCCTAAAACACGACATGGCGTAATTTAGCCACCATACAATCTAGCTAGAATGAATAAGTTTGAACCAAAACTATCAACATATACTATTTAATTGATGATATCTCAAATAGCACAGTCCAATAACAACATTTTTATCTGAAAACTGGCTTGTCTACTTTCCTTGAAATGTAAAATTACTTTACATATATTACTTTAAATTACATAGACATGCTAAGTTGCTTGTTACATCTTTACTAATTAAATGGAAAATCCGTCATGCACTTTTTTCTGGATAACACTCTAAATCACACAGAACATTTTCATACCACATCACTAAACATTATTTTGTATTAAAACATGTATAGTTTTGCTCACCACATTTACTGATACCACAAACCCGCCAAGACATAGAAGATGTTATAAAACACCAAGGTGTGTGAAAATAATTTGGAGCACGACAGAAATTAGCTGCATCAGAGATAGAAGCATCTGCAAAGTTGTTATAATTAAACTGATCCCATCGTAAACATGGTATTCCAGTAGCAGTCGTCTGTTGATGGCCGTCGTATTCCGGAGCGTTTGTGGTATAACAGTCTAGCACTACACCTAGTAAGTAAAATAATTAAAAGGTACTAAAAGATATTTATGCCCTAACCAGCAAAGACACGTTGATTATGCTTGCTGTTTCTACGGAAAGAAAAACCGGTATAATGAAGGAAAGTGACCCTCATAGAATTATGAACCTCTCGGTCTATACTTTTAAAGAATACTGACTCCCCCATTCATTATAATTATTATGACCGCTGGTCAATGTATAATGACCAACCCACACGAAGAAAAATGATCCTCGTGAACAAAGGTGACCCCGTTTCAATAGAGACTACTTGTCAAATGTTTTCATTTTCAAATATAATAGAATGTAATGACGAGTTGCTAAAAAGGAATGAAGGAAGAAGTAATCCGATTATTTCATGGCGTAATAAATTTCTTATCTGATTACTTTATTTCAAATTCAGCAGCTGTAATTGGAACGATTTTCCATATGATTTTTTTCTCGTTTGGTTTTGCACTGTATTTGTTGAATTTACTGTAGAAGCATGAAACAAATTTATTTCTAGACGTTAATTTGTACGTCTTCTAATGCACCAAAAGCAACAAAAAAGTTCAATGAAATTAGGGTTATATATTATACAGGAGAGGCGGATTAAATATTTTAATCCAAGTAAGTATTTAATGAGAAACGGTTTTCGAGTGGTCAGCGTTTGTGTTTCTAAACCAAGGGGTTGGAGCCATTAAAAGTTCACAACTATGTTTCTTCATTGAAACATAAACATTGTGAGTTACTGTGTCGGGTGGGGGCTGCGTTCATTGAACGCCGCCTTTTCTTGTCGATCTTGTTTATCATATATTATTTGATAAAACGAACTTCAGATTGGTTCAAATATAGTTCCAGTTTTATTGTAAATGAAAATGTAAATATGTTGCAAGTGATCTTTTTTCTCTCGCAATCTAAGCTTTATCTAGGCATTGTGTCTTAACTTTATATCTGAGACTAGGTACTTATTTTTCAGCAGTAATTAAGTATGGATACATAGAAAAGGGATCGCTGTTCTATGGCATTAGGACATGATTGTCAGTATTGCGACCAGAACAGTAGCTTCCAGCTTTCAGTAGTTAGTTTGATAAAGATAATCAATTTGAGGTCAATGAAAGGGGGCGGTGGAGTATTATACTTTTGACGGAGTCAGTAATTTATAGGAAAGTGGTAATATTTTCAATAGTGGCCGGGGGAGGGATCATCGTTCCTTGGTGTGACTTCACTTCGTTACACCTGTCATGTTGTTGCAATATTAAAGGAATTTCAAGGAGGTTCGAAAGCCTAACACTATAAAATTTGAATTTCTAAAATAGATCAGCTGGGATAATTCATTAATAAATAATTTAAGAAAAAAAATGAAATTCGTATTTATGTGCTATTCTTAGCACAATTTTAGTGAAATGCGTTGCAACGGTTTTCAATTTTGGGCCATGTTTTCACAGAAAGAATAATCATTTTGGAAAAACGGAGTGTGCAGATGATTTTAAACTTTGTACGCAAGTTATAAGTCTAGACCTACATCAAAATTTAATAAAACATTAATCTAGAAAATCATTCAGCCCCGACAAAACTCCGAAGCAACATAAAATCTATTCAATGATAAAAACATAGGCGTAACGTTATGTTATAGCAGCAAAGTATTCTGTATAAGATACATTAAAAATTACGCGACAAATAAAACAAAACCAAAACCTACCTTTCCCTGTCATGATCACTGATGATAATATAACCGAAAACAGTGAACAGATATTCCTTGACATTTCATATATAGTATCCAAATTATTATTTATTAAGATAAAATACACAATTTCAAAAGATAAAAATTAATAATTGCTGTGACTTTTAATTTTACTAATGATTTTGATAAATTAGTGTTTATGATAACATGTAGTGAAAAGAATCGTGGGTTACATCTAATTGTTTTTCAAGTGTATGACATCCGGCCCAAACATTCGACTTCTAGTACTCCAGCCAACACCATACATATCACATTATATCTGTTGTTTCCCCCGGAATTATCATCAAACGCACCTAACGTTTAAACTTCCTCAATTATTATTTAGTATTAATAGTTTTTAATTTAAGTAGCAATTTTAGATCAGATAGGTCTAATGGTTACAGATGATATTGAACTGTTGGGAGGTGGTACAAAAGATTGAATGATTAAAATGTTAATGTTACTCACAAATAAACTTGATTGTCTTATAAATCAACTTAAAATGTAATAATTACAGTTTATTTGCCACTGACATTTCTTAATATTACAAGAATTTACTAACACCCCAGTTACACAGAGCCATCGGTGATTGATCGGTAGTTTTTTTAGCCAAATTATGGAGTGAACCGATGACAACGTATTTAACACCGATATCACCTATTGGTCACCTGTTTTCCACCTATCAACTGCTATTGTGGAAAGATAAGTTTCATCGGTGACAAATTACCGATTGGGATTTTTAAACACGTTTAAAATTCTCGATCGGTGAAAATATTTTAAAAATAACCGACGGCAACCTATATCACGAGATATGCAAGCTCTTAATCACCGATATCGCCGATCGGACAAAGATAACCAAATATGAATCACCGGCCATATCTGACGGAAAGTGTTTAACCACTGATGACTAGCTATCAAACACCGATTAATCAGCGTTACGCCCGATTAAGCTCCGATTTACAAACGATAAAACCCAAAAGTATTTCAGCATTTAATCATCGGCCCATTCCCGTTTGAGTTTGCTTTCTGTCACCGATGGCCGTTTACACAGAAAACCAGAAATAAAATCACGCATGACAACCGATCATAACAGCGAGTAAATTTAAAATTATATGACCGATTGGGGACCGACCGTCAGTGTAACTGGCCCCGTATACTTTATACAGATCTATGTAGATATACATAAAACCTAACCTTTGAAAAGAAAATTAGCATAGCTCAGATGAAATGATTTCTTCAAAACTCTAATAAAGAATGAGATGAAAATTCCATTAAAATCAGTAATTAAATAAATCATTTCAAATCACAAAAAACTAAAGTAATATACCCGTATTGTTGGCACAAAGATTGTACTGCCAAAGAAACTGGTATATATTTAAGGTTTAAATGTAAGAAAATTTGATTTTTACAGAACCGTTTATCTTACATTTTATTTTGGTTAACTATAAAGAATAATCTAAAATAAATATTGGCCCACAGAACAACAACAACATTTTCAGTAGCAATCATCTATCATGATACATATAGAATAAATGCCAACAATGTATGAGTGACATTTGAACATCAGTTTTATTTTTTTTTTAACTAATTCTCTATAAACTACTGTTGAAAATACAGGAAATCATTATAGGTCAACCATAACATGTTGAAAATAATACTATCATTTGCGTAAAAGGTGTTGCACAATTTAAACAAGAGGGCCCAGGGGGCCCTGTATCGCTGACCTGAGAAATAGGTCAAAAGATCAAGTTTGAAAATTTGCAAAATTTGAAAACAAGGGACAGCTAAATATGAAAAAAATGTGTACACTGTCACCAAAGAAATGTTTGTGTAAAATTATTTCAAAACTGAACCAGTGGTTAAGATGTTGTTTAGATGTTTTTGTTTGCTAATTTTAACTCTGGCAGCCATTTTTTAAACTAAACAGTTCAGCGTGTTACTAAGTGAGAGGTGAGCTAATAAAAAGATGATAGAAAAAGAGAGGGAAAACAAACATTTGACCTGGCTGGGAATTGAACTGTCGAACTTTATTCCATGGAGATGGGCCAATTTTGACTCTAAGGGTTTTATTTCAACAAACATGGTAGACATACCGTAGAACACTTTTCATACCAAATATCTAAGCTTTAGGTCTTTAGGAATTTCACAAGGAGATTTTTTTCAGTTTTTACTATATACATGTATATATAATACATACATATACTGATAGAGCTTCATGCAAGAAACATCTCTTCAATGTTTCAACAAATTTTGCCATGTGGTTAAGAAGAAGAAGTTGTTGACGCACGCCTGGACGCACAGACGATGGACGACGGACAAAGGATCATCACAAAAGCTCACCTTGAGGACATTGTCCTCAGGTGAGCTAATAAACTATATATTAAATCCTAATAGCCATTTCACAGCCAGTCAGTGTAGACGATTGAGCACTCAAGATAATGCACAGAATATGGAAATAAAAATTTACATGTCATATATAACATAAAGATAATGTATAATATCAATAAACCAAATGACATCATGAAAACTATGCTTCCGTGCAATTTTTTTTCAACATACTTTATTGATTCTCATTTAATGAGCATATTAGACAGGAAATATATATCATTGTTTCATACGAAAACTAAACGAGATATCATTTTTTCATATAAGAACTGAAATATATCTCAATTTTTCTTGAATTGTAGTACAACAACTCAGAGCCTACCTGGCCTATTAATGGTATAACTACACAGTTTGAACTGAAATTGTGCATTATTCTATAACAACACACTCATACTGATTATCTATTTCCTTAAATTTTAAGTATTACACTTCCTTCTTTTATCATCTTCAAACATATTTACAATGAAATTGAATTAATCTAAGATTTAGAGATAACTATATATTTAGTGCAATTGTGTAGGAAGCTATAAGTTTATAGACATGATCTCGAATCTGTTTGTAATACCTAACAGTACTGAGCAATGAGTACAAAGATTCTTACCCAAGGAAACAACAGCATACAGTGAACCCACATTCCTAGCAAACATTTAGGTCACTTTATATCATAGTGTTTGTCAGTGCGTCAGTTTTATAGGGAAATTAATTTCAAGCAAATAACCTACTGAACTTCTGAAATGAACTTAATCAGCTTCCAAAATAGGAACTGATCATTATTAAAGGAACTCAACTGAAGTAAAAAAAAAACCCGGAAAACATAACATTTGAAGTCCTTACCTTGATCAACTGTGGCACTAAAACAAAAAAAAGTTATGCTTAAGATAATAAAGAACAAAACTTAGAAATACATTGAAAATCGTTTGATAAGTTTTGCTTAGTCCTGCAAAGCTTTTCAATTTTGGGTAAGTCCTTATTATAAGAATAATTATTCCGAAAAAAATATATTGAGTTAATAAATTGAAATTTTGCAAGCATGTTATTAGGCTAGTCCTACACCAAATGGTACATCTTGAAAATTTATTTTCCAGTTCAGTCGTGTGAAAAACCTCAGTGAAGTCCCTTTAACATCACATATATCGAGGTGAAAATTTGAAGTTGGTAGAGTCTATCTCAATACAAGTTAACCATGTTATCACTTTTGGTCACAGTTGGTTAAGGATAAAATTTTAATATCAATGATAAAAACATTTTATCATTAAAGTAGTAACATGTTTTTTAGGGTCTGGATGTCCAGCTATGTGGGAAACCTATAACTGACATAGGGGATGATTTAATTTCCAGTAGGTTAAGGATAAAATATCAAGTTTTAATGTCAATGATGAAACAGTTTTATCATTTAAGAAGTAACAATTTTTTAGGTTTTGAATGTCCAGCTTTTTGGGAAACCTGTAACTGACAAAGGGGATAATTGAATTTCCATTATGTAAATACTAGTAGATTCCGAGGATCCATAAAAATAAAACTTGCTCATACATATAAAATACAGAAGAAAAAAAAACAAACGGCTCAGTTTGTAACCTGATTGAATCAAAAAATATATTCAATATGTCTAAATTTTAAGAAACTAAATTAAGTTAAATGAAATAATCTCTTTTCAAATTCATGATTTAAAACAATGATAATTTATAAACCTTAATAAGGAAGTTAAATGTATATGTTATTTTAGATTGCAATCTATTTTATCCTCGGCAAATTTAATGTTCAAATCACCACTTTCAAAAAGATCAAAACAATCTGATCAGTGTTCAACAAACATCTCTTATCATTTATGTTTAATAAATAAAAAATAGAAAGTTTAAAAAGTATAGTCACAATATGGAAATTTTAAGATGCAAAGTCAGTTTTGTACAGGTACATCTTTTTTAGGCAACTAATTAAATATATTTTTTGTTTGGTTTTAAGTTGAAACAACAATATAAAGGTCAATATGGCATTTTTTTGCTTTACTGGTATATGAAAACATACCTTAAATGCCCTTCTAATGATGAAAACATTGAATATATTATTCTATATTTTTAAATGAGATTCATAATTGGAAAATGTGAAATATTTGTGCATTAATTTTGTTTTTCGTTGATTATTGGATAGGTAACAGACCAATTTTCAAGAATTTCTTTCTGAGTTACGTATGGAGACTTCCCTTTTTATTTAGATAAAATAACAAAGAATGTCATGAAATGGAGCAAAAATATTGCTTAGTCTCAACAATAATACAAAACATTATTATGACATTTCGAATAGAAGTGTGAGGTACTTAATTATGCAACACACAATATTTTTGATAAGGCCGAAATTATGCAAAGTCACTCATTACTTACTTACAATATTTCAACTGTCGATATAAATGACCAATCTCGATACAAAGTCATTTGAAATGGTAAAAATATATCAACAAGAAATTAGTCCTTATGAACGATAATACATGTATTTTCACTTCCCTTTGAAACTTGATTACAATAATTACAACAGGATCTGTCACTAAAATAATCTACAAATCTTCAATAATCAACAGTTACTGCACGTAAAGGAAAATGACTCACAAGTAGATTA